TCCCACCAGAAACAAATGAGACAGGCCTTGGCAAACTCTGTCATTTTGGCAGGCTCATTTGCCTACATTTTACAACAGGCAGAAACAAGATCTAGATGTGCCCTAACCTTCAAGAAGATTAAAGAACCAAGTTTTTTCCTGAAATACCTGTCCTTTCTTCCCTCCCTTTTGTTTTCTTTTGTTATTGAGACACGCTACCTTGGGCTATAGTTTGTTGAGTGTAAGAGGAAGCCAGTACAGATAAGTTTCTTAATGTTTTCTTGGTTAAATCACAGGCCCTGCAATACACTGAAAGAGCTGTCATTGCAAAACTCAGCCTTTGTTTCACCTTTTAAAGATTTTAAAATGTGAAAGGAGTTCAACCATAAAAATAACAACTCTGTCATCCTTTACTCACCCTCATGTCACTCTAAACCCGTTACCTTTTCACTTCACCATTAACCATGATATTTTATTTTTTATTTTACTTTTACAAAACTTCTCCATCAGAAAGTCATAGGGGTTTGGAACAACAGGAGAGTGAGTAAACAATAATAGTAATTTTTGGGTGAACGGTCCCTTTAAGTATCATTGTTGTTATGCTTAGGCACTGCTGTTGAGTGCTGTTGGCATATTGGCCGCAGTGCTAAAGAACTGGATGTGCCAAGAACAGGGCTAAAGCATTCTCAAATTCTTGCGTGATTCTTGAGGATGAAGATAACGTTTCGCAATATTGCGGTGGAAACTCCCTGCAAATGTCATCTATGTGAACAATGCCAGTCATGCCCCTCCACCACAGATAAGGACCAAAGCTGGTTCATTTCTGTCACCCCTCAGATGGGCATCAGCACAAGCAAAACACATTTCTGTCACATCAGAAACCAGATGCAGAACTGTAGAATTGTACTTCAAATTAAAAAAAATATTATTCATACACTTGAAAGGATTCTCACAAGGCTACATTTATTTGATAAAAAATACAGTAAAAACAGTAATATTGTGATATAGTATTACAATTTAAAATATCTGATTACTATCTTAATGTAATTTACCCCATGTGATGGAAAAGCTAAATTTTCAACAGCCATTTCTACAGTCGTCAATGTCACATGATCCTTCAGAAATTGCTCTAATATGCTAATTGGTGCTCAAGAAACATTTCTTATTATTATCGATGTTGAAACCAGTTGTGCTGCTTAATAATTTTGTGGAAACCATGATACATATTTTTTATTAATAAAAAGTTAAAAGAACAGAATTTATTTAAAATGTTGTTTTTTTTTACGATTTAAGGTCTTTTTACTGTCACTTTTGATCAGACTTTTGAATGGTAGTATAGGCAAGCTATGGCTGTGTCCTAAAAGTCAAAGTAAGCACATCAACTTAAGTTCCTGAAATGTGATATTTCTCAGTAATAACTGACACACAGTATGAGTTCTCTAACCACTTGTTTTCAGTCACCCTATCACATTTTTTTTCCTCAAATTGTCAAGAGAAGCTGTAAAACAGCATAAAAGCATTCTGACATTTTCTTTGGTGGCCTACTTTTCTGCTAAATAAACCCAAGTAAGCTTAAGGCAAATCCATTCTCAAAGGAAAACAAATCAAGTTGAAGAACTATGAAGGGAAAACCATTTCCAAGACATAAGATATAAGGCATAATATATTTTGCTGTGCAGAAGAAATGTACAGACATAATGATGTATGTGATATGTCCTCTAGCTCTGTGACAGCTTAAGGGGAACAGTTTTGTACTTACCCCAGTTCAGGGGCAGCAGTAAAGCCCCAGTCACCCAGAGAGAGAGCAGCTGTGTGAACATGCTGGAGGAGACAGCAGAACTGACTGGGATCTTGACTGTGTCTTACTATATGAGCACATGATGAAGTGAAAGGGTGGGAGACAAGTCTGGGGAGGGCTTGAAACGGTTACGGGAAAACTTGTGATAGCATTGCTAGATTGCTCATTCATTTTCAGTTGCGTAACATTTCAAGCCAAAAGTATTAAAGGGGTCATATGATGCGATTTCAGTTTTTCCTTTCTCTTTGGAGTGTTACAAGCTCTTGGTGCATAAAGAAGAACTGTAAAGTTGCAAAGACTAAAGTCTCAAATCCAAAGAGATATTCTTTATAAAAGTTAAGAGTCAGCCACGCCTACCTAAAACGGCTCGTTCTAACACGCCCCCACATGTCTACCTCACGATGTGGGAAGATTTGCATAACGCCGCCCAAATGTTCACGCAAAGAAAGAAGGCGTAACTTTTATTCTCGCTGTAGTATCGTTGCTGCCGCCGCCATGTCGTGAAGACGCTGTGTGTTTCGTTGTGAAAGCGAAACTACTTTGTTTGGCCTTCCAAAAGAGGACACGACTAGAATAATGTTTTTGTCTTGTCGCTCCGGCCAGACAGGGCATCACATTATAGTAAGGGGCGTAACATTTCCGTCACACGCTTGAGGTATTCGGCCAATCACAACGCACTAGATAGCTGACCAATCAGAGCACACCTCGCTTTTTAGAACGATGAGCTTTGTAAAAATCGACGTGTTTCAGAAAGGTGGGGCATAGAGGAGAAACAATAATGTACAGTATGTGGAAAATAATGTTTTTTTTTTCCTTAAACCGCATAAACACATTTCATTACACCAAATACACAACATAATGTTCTTTTTAGGAGCATCATATGACCCCTTTAACCTTTTTAATTTAGTAATTCTTTAAAGCTGTCTAAAGGTTCAAATACTTTCCATTGCTTCAGTTTTTATGCTCTTTATTGTTCTTTAAAAGTCTCAGGAGCTTTTTTTTACCACTAAAAGAATATGAAACCATGAGGTTTGCACACTGACAAATCCAAACACGCTCTAGCCGTTTATCAGTTTCATCTTTTTCAACATTTTTCACTTGATTTAAATGAGCTTTCACACTTTCATGGACTGAATGTTCTTAACATAAACATCAGACTCACCAGAATGAAATGAAAACAAAGGATCCTAGGAAGATGAGAAGGCTTTAATCAGGTTTTTTAGCAAATATATTACTTTGTAAGGATTGTTTTCAGTCTAAGATAACTACTTCTAAGGCCATTTCTGTTTTTCTTTTTTCTTTTCTACTCTGTTTCTAATAAGATTTCCATGCTTGTATATTAAAATATCTGGATGCTGTTTTTGCTGTTCAAGTTTCATAGCTGCGAGCAGTTATGTGGTAAACCTGTTGGCCAACATCATCCGAGAAATTATTATGGGACAAGTTCTGACAAATATCTTGGAAGTCACCACTTTCCCTTGCCAACCACAACTTCAGGTTGTGATTGATTTCATTTTAATAATGCAAAAAATAAATAATAAAATAAAATAAAAAACAGCCTGCTGACTGAACAGGTTTCATATGGTGCGTCCACTTTGATCCAAGTACATTAACCCCCAGGACAGGATGATGTTATGCAAGGTATTCAAAATCAGTGTTCAATGTGCTAATCAGGTGAAGTCAAATTCTGAAGCGTCTCAGACCATAATATGCCTTGAAGCCTTAGCCTACAACATTCTGGTGCAAACAAATCAAGGCCTGTGTTGGCTGTCGAGGTTCAATCTTACCACAAGATGCCGCTAAATACTACAATTTCATGCTTTTCAGAACCAGCTATCACATCTCTGTAGTTTTCCCTCAATCATGTCCTCAAGATTTCCCAAATGATTTAATGAGACACCTTTAGGTGTAGTTGTAAAAGCTTTAAGACAGACAGACAGACAGACAGACAGATAGATAGATAGATAGATATTAATAGCGGTTAATACTGTCAGTTTACAACGTTATATTTACCTTGACAACATTTTAACAATCATCGTCGTATGTGCCGGTTTTTATGTCGGCTGTTTAGAACATAAGACTGTAAAAAAAGAATCAGAATCAGGTTTAGAATCAGAACTAGCGACGTCCTTTTCTCCAAAGAATCACTCTTACGAGTCGATTAATCGGTTACAGATTATCAAACAGCCTGAATCGATTATCAAATGATTCACTCTTAGGAGTCATTTATAAATCGGCTTCACGGTTATCAGTTCAGACTTCAGTCTGAGTCATCTCTCGCTTACAGATTTGTTTGAATTTGTGGAATGTTTTACAACATTCCATTCTTTGAGGACAAAAAGAGCAATGGTATACTTACCGACAACCCAATGTCAAGTCAAGTCACCTTTATTTATATAGTGCTTTTAACAATACAGATTGTGACAAAGCAACTGAACAGCATTAATTAGGAAAATAGTGTCAATAATGCAAAATGACAATAGTAAACACTCATTTTTCAGTTAAAGACAGTTCATCATTGAATTCAGTGATGTCAACATCCAGCTCAGTTCAGTTTAAATAATATCTTTGCAATTATGTCAACGATAACGCTGGAAATGAAGTGTCCCCAACTAAGCAAGCCAGAGGCGACAGCGGCAAGGAACCAAAACTCCATCAGTGACAGAATGGAGAAAAAACCTTGGGAGAAACCAGGCTCAGTCGGGGGGCCAGTTCTCCTCTGACCAGACGAACCAGCAGTACAGAAAAATCAATATAAGACGTAATAAAACAGACGATGAATAATATTAACAGCAATTATTATATGATGCAATCAAACTTATAGCAAAATGTGGTAGTTCTGTAAGTTGTTTCAGGGTTGGCATCATCTGAGGTCCTCTGAGGGGTTGCATCATCTCTTCTCAGGTGTTCTGGATCCAGACTGAAGCTTGTGTAAATCCTAGTTACATCCCGTGGCAAAAGACAGAGAAACAAATACAAACATAATTAGCGTAGCTGCTGTTCCAACCAAGCAAAAATGATTTGTTTAACCCAAACTAACGAATAATAATGTGCATTTGATCAGATATAACTGCAGTAAAAGATTATGACTGCAGTAAAAGATTATGAGATGCATTATTTGAATGCTTGGCCAAAGAGATGTGTCTTTAATCTAGATTTAAACAGAGAGAGTGTGTCTGAACCCCGAACGGTATCAGGAAGGCTATTCCAGAGTTTGGGAATGTATCGTTTGCCACGTCCAGTCACGAAAAAGACCTTACAACACCTGCAAGCACGTGCAGCCTCAAGTTCTGCAGGTAAAGCCACAAGACTACCAACATATTACCACACTACACGAAAGCACTTAAAGTAGAAAGTGACACTTCTGACTGTAGAACTGACTCCGCCCCCTCAGTTTCCATCAGCAAATCATTCTGTCATACAGAGGTCACTGGTTAGTCCAGATTGGATCTTTCCAGATCACAAACGATTTCTTTAAAGATTAATGTAATTATAAACATCCTCAAATGTGGACAAAAAAGCATTAAAACATTACTTGGACTTTATCTCCTTTCTGTTAAGTGCGTGTTGGTGCCCCCCATCAGTCTCCCTGTAGTGTCTTGTGGGACAAATGGACAAGCTCAACAGCTGTGGGGTTCCGCCCTACTGCTCCTTTGAGATTAATTATTGCTTGGTACCAATGTATCCCTTCCCATGGAAGTTGCCGTGGAAACCCTTCTCACCAGTTTAAGAGTGCTGGTTTTGGTTGGGAAATTGTGTAAATGTTTTTGTACTATTCGTTTTTATACTATAAATTTTTCACTAAGCATCTTGGTACTATTAATGATTGAAAACTGAAGATTTTTTTAAACTGTAATCAGAAAAATTCCGTTCTGTCTCTCTGTTGTAAAATCTAAAATGGTAGCTGTGTTTTTTTTTAGAACATGTTAACTGGTTTCTAGCTGGTTGGAGATGGTTATTAGCTGGTCCAAGCTGGTTTTTGGAACATGCTGGGTGGTCAACCAACCAATAACAGCTAAGGACCAGTTTAGACCAGCTAGAAACTAGCTAGTAGCTACCATGTTTAAAAAAAAAAAAAAACCTAGTTTAAGCTGGATATTACAACAGTAAACTGCTTTCATAAAATTATAACGGGAACAATTCTTTGCAGAAGTGAAACTTGCGTCAGCATAGCATGAGATATGGTCACATTTGTCTGAGACAGTCTTATTGTAATAGTATAGAGATACTATTGTAGTTTTTATTAATATTTTTAATTCGTTTTTTGTTTTTAGTCATTTTATTTTTAGTAATTTTTCCATTTTTCTTAGTTTTGTTTTTTTTTTATTCATTTTATTTCAGTTTTAGTTATTTTAGTACTCCTAATCATTACTGATCACCACTGTATATATATGTATGTATGTACCAGGAGCTCCTAAAACATACACACACACTTGACTTGCCGAATAAAGCTAATTCTGATCTGATTCTGATTAAACTAAACGAAAATGAGAAATTAATTTTAATTTATTTCAGATAACGTTTAAAAAAAAAAAAAATTTTTTTTTTTTATGGTTTCAACTATAATAACCCTTGTCTGAGCTAAAGCACTCCTGGGGGACATCCTACAGCTACAGGATCTGTGATTAGGAAGAGCCTGGTAACGCCTTCTCACTTCTGTGTGGGGTGTGTGGAATGCATTGACACCTCTTGACACAGTCCTAACTAGGTGAAACGTTCTTGCCATGGCAACACACCCTATTTGGCTCATATATAGCCAGTCCGTGGCTTCTACTGTCACTTGTCTGTCAGTCTTCTTACGTTTCAAGCCACATGCGGTTTGGCGCGCACAGCACCTGCTGAGTTTTGTTGTGTTCTTATAGCTAGTATAGCTAGTATATATGTACAAGTTGTGTTTTTCTTGTTGCTTGCTTTATTTCAGTGTAAATGTGTAAACCACACAAGGACGGTGGTCATAATTACTCATTTAAATTATTATTATTGATTTTTCATGTAATATATAATTCATTTATATAGATTTTTTCATATCTAGGTTGGTTTGAATACAAGAATAATGATCAATAATCAATTTAGAGATATAATAATATTCACGTTGAGTGAATTTATAGCATTTAGTGTGATACTGATATGTCAACGAAGCATATCAGATAAACAATTCTGGGTTTTTTTGGTAAAAGGTAAAAGTATTTTTAGTGAAATTTAAGATTTTGTCAATTAAGCGTATGTCATTTAATGAGACAGACAAAATTAAGATATGAACACTCAGAATTCAGGGATGTTAAATGAGGATCACTTTAATTGCACAAGTGGTTGTGTCTCAAGTACATCAGAGATTAGCCGGTCCTGAGCTTACAAACACCCATTTACAGGGTTCTGCTCTCCGCACTGCAAACTGACCCCATTTACAATTAGCTGCAGAAATGTGAAATAATGTACACAGAGATTTACAGTTGTCCATATAAATGTGATTAGCAAGAGCAGAAAAGACATTTGAGTATCTGAGTTGTTTACCAGCAGCTTGTAACTAACTGTCCATCTGAGAGATTGTGTTTGTGAGGATAATGGAATAGAAAAAATCCAAAAACATTCAGGTTTTCTTCTGTATTAATGTGCAGGTCTCTAACATGAACCTTCAAATAGCCAGACTCTGTCGTTTGAAGCAGGCAAAATCAATAGTTTGTTCCTTTCTAATTGCATAAGAGAGTCTAGCACTGATGCACTAGCTCACAAATACAACGTTACTAGTCTGACCACAATAACACAGTCAAAAGCTAAATGAGATTCAAATTCACATTTTATCAAAAGGTCTGCAGAAGTTCAGAAAAATAGTGACAACAGGTGAACAATCTTATGGCATACATATAGTTCAAAAAAGCATTAAGGAAACATCAGATCTAAGCAGTCACATGGTTTGTGATGTCAACTTAAAGTAAACGTGTCATAAATGACTAATGTATGACTATCAAAGTACAGGAATAATTTGGCTCTGTTTCTGTTATTCTATGTGATAAGACCTGTGTGATAGGAAAGATGTCAGGATTGGTTTTGATGTAATCTAATATGACCCTAATATGATCCTGGCTACCTGACAGATGCTCGGGTAATTAGATTCACCTTGCGCTGGCACTGTCAGATAAAATCAGATCATAACACAGCCAGCTGACCAAACAAAACCAGTTCGTCTGATTAAACCTGAAAAGATCACACAACATTGCTGTTTGAGATAAGAGTTGTATGAGGTACAGAAAACCTTTGGCATCTGCGTGGCGATAATATGATAAGAATATAACTTAAAATGTGAGGGGTAGTGAATAAAAACATTTATTATCTGTACTTAAAAAAAAAAAAAACTAAGGTCTGCCATAGGCTTTGTGCTTTATTACCGTTGGAAGCGAAAATGTACAGTTATTTTTAAATGACAAGATTCCAGAAGCAAGGAATGTCCGGTTGAGTTGCGTTTCCAGGGAAGTGGTTTTCTAAGTCAAACATTTAAAAAGCAAAGACTCTCCTCAAAGTCTTTCTCTACAAAAAAGCACTTTACAATAAAATGTACAAAAAATATAACACTGTTTATAATCAAGTCTTCGTAACAGAACAGGTTGACCTGTACCCATAGAATTGTGCAAACACATTATTTAGCTACTAACTGTAAAACAAGGTGTTTTATACTGGCAAGACATACCATTTGGTCGTTTAACGCTATACTGTACTGCACACTGCCAGTAAATCCTGATACCTGTGGATTATTTCAAGCTTATATGTGGGGGAATCTCACTAAACCTGTCTGGGTCACATTTTAAACCAAAATTCTGAAAAAAATAAATATTAGAAATTATAAAATGCAAAAAGAAAATGAATTATACAGGACTGTTATTTTTTTCCTTTTTTTATGACAGTTATGCACTGGTAATTTATTATATTCAGATTTTTATAGTAAAGTAGTACAATACAATTCTATTTAGTAGTACAATCAAATAATTTTTTTACATTTTGTATCAGCATAAATTGAATACGGTAATGAGAACTAGATGGGGAAATGTGCTTAATTTTCTAAATTAAATTAGAAAATAAGTTAATTAATAAGAAAATAATACATTTACTTTAAGCAATTTCTTCTTTCTCTCAAAAAATGTTTGGGGTGAAATATGACTCATGTTCATGTTCTTGACCGGTTTCGTGAGTTTCACCCATGCAATCTTGCATAGTTCCCCAGAGACAAAATTCCTGCAAAGCAAAGAGGTGCATACTTCTTTTGAGGTGCAGGCAACTTGTAGGCAAAAATTTTGGACAATTAAAATATACAAGCATTCAGAGTCTTTGAAGAGTTTGAAATGCAGTTTGCATGTGCCCTTTTGAAAAATACACTAAGGCAGCTTTTGATTTTGAGAGATACCAACATTTTCGGAAATACCACTTAGGTGTAAAGATTTGGAGCTACACGACCCATGTTTCCCTGCCTACAGTAGATTGTCTGTTCTGCCTCTTAGGTTTGAAAAGATAGCTTGCCAGTGTCACTCTCGTTTTACAGCATTCTCCATAGTGCAAATGTGTAATTATTATTAATAGTTTCCTTTACTGCATGGAGTCTCGTCTTTAATGGCAGCTGTTTCGTCATCCACTTTCCACAGCAACACTGGCACCAGACGTCATATGTGTTCATGTTCATGGCTTTGTTCACAAGTAGAGCCCATCTGACGGGATACAGAGCGCTGCCGGACAAAGACCACGTTCTACTATCCATGATCGTTCCGCCAATCGCCTTTGGCTGCACCCTGATCGCATCTTATTATAAGCTTGTTTTGTGTTATTACGTACAAAAATGACCCAGGGAATAAAATAGACCTAGGGGTCAGCGACCATTTTGAAACTTAGCTCTTCCAGTGTATAATGAAACAGAGGGAAAACATTCACATTGTGATAGGCTGATGATGACAACAACATCACCACCGTCTGGTGTTTCTCACCCTTTCTTACCCTGATGGGCCGCTCAATGACTCGGTGCTTTTACTGTCCCTGTCGACATCACTGTGAAAATTGATACCGGAGGGTACAATGCAACAGCTTGTGGTTGGTAAAACCACCAGGACCTCGTATTTCTGCTCTGATGCTGATATTAGGGAGTGGAAGAAACTAGATTTGCTCTTTGACAATTCATACATGCACGTATAGCTCATGTTATTCATTTTTTGTTGATTTCAGCAATGCTAAAGCAGTCAACACGAGGAGTCCATTGAAAAATTATGCCATGGAGGACTTTCTGTATTCTCACATCATGCTCTTCCGGTGATTTGCTTGTTGTGGGCTGTTTAGTTTGCCATTATGTGGAGGACTGAGTGTGACAGAAGTGGCGGAGTCAAGCTGCTTGTATAAAGCTCTGAGTTCTTTTACTTCCTCCAGCACGTCACGAGCCTGTCCCCAAGTGGACGCCGCCTCTTCCAGAAGCCTCTCTGCCTCCATCCGCTGACCCTCCGGGCTGGAGCTCTTCCCAGCCGGCGAGCCCTTACCCTTGCCCTGCACCCGTACCTCTGTCAGCAGTTCTTGAGTTCTTTCTAGCTTCTGGGTGATGAGGTCCTGTAGCTGGCTGATGGGCTGCACGGGCGCTGAAGTTGAGCAGTGAGGGAGGGCTCGTGTCTCACAGTGTGTGAGGATCTCATCCATGGAAGCACAGCGGTTCTTGTCAGATGTGGGTATTTTTTTGCGGAGCTGCGGTGTCCTATGGTTCTCCAACCAGTCGAAGGCACTCTCGCTTTTCCGCGGCAGACTCTGGGACTTTCCAGAGGTCTCGTTGCGAGTTGAGAGCTTTGAGGTGTCCGTGATGGAGTGCTGGGAATCTGGGGTGTGCTGAGAAGCAGCTTTATCGAGGGTATCCTCATGAGAGTCCTGACCCTGTGCGGAGGGGACGTCTTCTTCCTGGATGAGGTCAAGTGTCAGCATGCCATCCGAGTTTGTGGTAGAAGCCTGAAAAGTGTGAGTAGGTTTTAGACCAAAGTCTTTCTGCAGGGTAAATGCAAAAATTCTTAAAGTGTGCTTTTTAAAAAAACTAAAAAAGGGCTCAACAATAAGTATGTAAAATTATCCCCCTGATCAACATAGATGAGGTAACTAAAATTCCAACACTGAATTGTCATGGTAGCATTATTAAAAATGGGTTTAAAAATTACAAACTTGAGTAGTGGGCTTGCCTGACCTGGAAAGAAGAAAAAACCTTATTGTTGAGCCCTAAATTGTCTTAAAATGAAAAGTATGAAGAAAGTATTTTATCAGTAAAACTGATAAACTACACCTTAAAGGACTGTTTCATATGTATCGTTCCAGCCTTTTCCCAAAATGAAGTTCTCATTAAATTAGATAATATTCAGAGCCAATGGACTGCTTACCACAGCCATGAGGTGCCCGCGGGTGGGCAGACGGCGAGTGTGGGGTATCTTAGCTCTGTCACGCGTCGGATGGGCCAACAAGCTGTCCTCTTCCACTGTCACCTAAAGGGGTCGGACAAAGAGCGCTGGAATGAAGCCCAACTGAACAAATCAGTAACATGGAAACTATAGCAGCAGCTACATGTTTCACGCAAGCCTGCAGGAGGAGAGCTGGTATATTGATTGACTAATTGATGGGTCTGTTTATTATTAGTATGTGATGTACAAATAATGACACAAGCAGTTCGGCAGAGTGGATGAATGTTTGAGTTCTGGGTTGTACAAGGAGGAGGGAATCAAGTGTGTCAGCACAGCCTGTTGTTTACGAGAAAATTTATGCTGTAAATGCTACAATCCTAGACTTTGTATTCTGAGATGGCTTTTGTTTGTTGGCCAGAAGTGTATGGCTATTCTTACTGTGTTTGGTCAGGGTTTATGGACTAAAGGAGGGGTGGTAAACAACAAAACAAAATATTGGTTTAGAAGATTACTTTCTGTAGTTTTTGACAAATTGATTTAACTTTGTATGAAATAATGTTTATAGAGCTTTTAACATATAATTTATTAATGGTGTTTGCTGAGCTAATCTGTTCTAATCTCTTGATTCTAAGTATTAAAATGTAATATGTTACTCATATTTCTTTGTTTGTGCTACAGTCAGGAATGATCGACTACTAAGAAAGCAGCTAGTTAAAGGGTTAGTTCACCCATAAATGAAAATTCTGTCATTAATTACTCACCCTCGTGTTGTTCAAAACCCGTAAGACCTTCGTTCATCTTCGGAACACAATTTAAGATATTTTTGATTAAATCTGAGGGCTCTCTGACCCTCCCATAGACAGCAAGGTAACTACCACGTTCAAGGTCCAGAAAAGTACCAAGATGATCTGTGACCTCAGTGGACTTAAAGTTACGAAGCTACGAGAATAGATTTTTGCACAAAAAAGAAAACAAAAATAACGACTTTATTCCACATTTTCGTCTCTACTGCGTCACTTGTGGACGCACAACAGTATCATGACGCGAGTGTGTGGCGGTGCCGGCGCTGACCCAGATCCGGCGTAATGACATCATCACGCCGGATCTGGGTCAGCGCCTCCACACGCTCGCGTCATGGTACTGTCGTGAACGCGTGTCTAAAGTGACGCAGTAGAGATGTGGATTAAAGTCATTATTTTTGTTTTCTTTGCGCAAAAAAGTATTCTCGTAGCTTCGTAATATTACAGTTGAACCACTGATGTCACACGGACTACTTTGTCGATCATCTTGGTACTTTTCTGGACCTTGAACGTGGTAGTTACCTTGCTGTCTATGGGAGGGTCAGAGAGCCCTCAGATTTCATCAAAAATATCTTAAATTGTGTTCCGAAGATCACGGTCTTACGGGTTTCGAACAACACGAGGGTGAGTAATTAATGACAGAATTTTCATTTTTGGGAGAACTAACCCTTTAACCTTTAGAACACTATACCAACCGTCTACCAACACCATGATGACTGCTTCCTGTACCCTACCACTACCCTACTTGCGGTGGAGAGTTTCACACAAGTAAACTGAGAATATGTAAAAATCGAGTATGATTTGTGCATGGTGTTGTTTGTGGCTAGTGAATGCATATATTTTCAGTTTTTAGTCACTAAACCTGCCTACACATTTCTGAGACTTGTAACATGCAGCAGTGCTTGGCAACAGATAAGGAGCACATTGACAAACTATAATTTGCAAAACCAAACCATGCAGATCAGAAAAAGAATATGGCCCATATTGATTCTTAAAATGCCAAGATTGTTCGCTCTTTTAATCTGTGTTTTCCTTTGATGCATGGAAAATTGTGCAAAAGAACTGTAGCACACCTATTGTCTTTATAGATGTTGGTGAGTCAGTGGCGAATCTTGGTGTGCAACTTGTTTCTCTGTCCACAACCGTTCAAAATAATTGAAGCATGCCTGTTGACATTAGTGAAATAATCCCAAATTAATCATTATAGAATCACATAAAAATCAAATAGAATTAAACACTAAAGCTTTGTGGACAGAAACTTTCAAAACTGCTTTGTGGAGTTCTTGTCTACTGAGTTATTTTTGGAAAGACATTTCTTCAGCAGTACAATCTATTGAACATACTGTATTTCTATCCCTCACAGCCTCATTTTCATTCCTGTCGGAACTGAAATATGGCGCTTCCCTGACTAATGTTTTGTGGAATTGAATTGACTTTGAATCAATACCTAGCCTTGAAAAAAAAATGCAAAAGACCTTTCTTCTTTAGCCATATTTAATGATTTGATCCATATTTGAAGACTAAGTTTTATTATTTGTTAATATTTAATATTTTTAAATAAACAAGTGTCTTCAATAGCATTTTAGGTTTTGTCATAGTATTGAGAATTGTGAAACTGTACAAGTATTTGCATGAACAACTGAAATGCTGGCATCGTGACAACCGTAGAAAGAACAATGTGACCGTACCATTCTCTCATTTTAAGTTGATGTACTGAATAGCTATAACAACAGTCTAGTAAGCTTCAATAGAAGATTTCACAACATAACTCGTCTATTTCCTCTCCTGTTGAGTGGTATGAGCGATCTTGCCTCTTTAACTAAATGTAGGGTATGAATCACACCACAATGACATGTGAAAAGGAAAGCACATGGTGTCTCTGGTTTATGTAAATAAATATCAAGTACATTGGGTGTGCTGTGTCATAATCAGCCTGCTTGAAATGACTGTGTGTATGTTCACGGTTCCAAACAATGGCCTGGTCCCCACGACATGTCAAGTGTTGATCTGGAGGACTCAGACAGCATGGATGGTTAGGCCAAATTAAATCTTGTTCGTTATCAGAAGCTGAAGGTGTAGATAGGCTCTGATCTGGCTGCTTTAATGCTGAAAGTCGTGACTGCCATCTATTTTTGGTGGAGTGATTCATTTTCTCCCACTGTGTGCCGAGCGTGATTATAGACCCGCTTTTAAATTGAGCAAATCCCTTCACAAACAAACTGTGAAAAGATCAGGGAATGAGAGGGCAGGAAATTTGTGATTAGAAGTTTTTATAAAAGTGGCTTCTCCAAGGACCTGCAAATGACAATCTGTGTTCGGTTTTTTACATTTCACATTTTTTGGAAGAAATTGGAGTGGTGCTTGCCTATGCTAATCACTGCTGGGGTGTTGTGGGTGGTTGTCTGAGCATTGTTATGCGGTTGCTAAGTTTCCAATTTTTTAAATGTTGCTATGCGGTTTCTATGATGTTTTGGATGGTTGCTAGGTGAATGCACACTAGCCCAAGTCAGAAAAACCCTCCAACCAACATGCTAGGATGTTGTGTGGTTTCCTGTGCATTGCTGTGTGTTTGACAAGGTATTTAGAGTGCTTTTAACAGATTACTATGTGTTTGCTAAGATGATTTGACCCTACATTCAGAAACATACTTAATGGAAGTGTCCAAAATATGATTGCCTGGTCAATACATTGCTAACTTGCAGTCTGGTTGTAAATAATTAATAGCAAGCAGCACTGGTATGCAAAAATATGGAAATGTCTAGCTTACCTCATCCAATATGTGATTCTTGGCCCTGGTGATGGCTGCATTTAAAGCATTGATCCATGACTCCTTCTCTTCTGGACTGACAGCCAAAAACACCAGATTTGGGACCTACATGTGGCGGATGAGAGAAAATGTAATATCGTGTGCTGTTTGAAACGTTCATTTATCCAAGTACAACCATATAAGCCAGTGCAGGTTATAGAGCAAACACAGTCTAATGTATGACCAATGTTGCCCTGAACCCTGCTGGCTTTTCATTTTACGCCTACACACGTGGTGAAAATTCCTTGTCTTGTTCTAGGCGGACACAAACATGTAGTGAGCCAAGCATAAATGAGCAGGTACGGCCATATGGCTCAGTCTATGGACAACTGATGCAGCAACAGAGTGAGGCAGAAACCACCATATTAGGCAAGAACACTGCAAGCCTTCCAAACCCAGTCTGCTGGAGCTCTTCTGTTGATGCTGCAGCTGTGTAGATAAGACTCTGCTATGCGCCCTATGCTACGTATTTGTACTGTTGTTGACAAATCACTTTGACCATTAAAGGGGAAATATCGTGGGAAACAGAAAAACGCCTTGTCAGTCGAATTACTGCAGTCTGTATTTAACTATCTGGGCTCAAAACAATTAATTTTTAAAGACATTAATACTTTTATTCAGTAAGAATGCATTCAGTTGATCAAAAGTGACAGCAAATACACTTGTAACATTTATATAAATTTTTTTCAACTTTCTATTCATCAAAGAATTCTGGAAAAACAAATCATGGTTTCCAGTCCACAAAAAACTGTTTTCAACATTGATAATAATAAGAAATGTTTCTTGAACGCCAAATCAGCATATTAGACTCATTTTGGAAGGATCATGTGAAACTGAAGACTGGAGTTTTGTCCGGTGGAAAACTTGTACATGCTGGTGTGTGGTTGCTGAGGCATTGTGAGATTTTGAAGGTGTTCAAAATGTTTTTAGTGTGTTGCTAGGAGTTTTGGGTTACTAGGTTGTTTGGTTGGTTGTTAGGTGAAATGCTTACAACAGCAAAACTAGCTTTGTTAATTCAGTTTGGTGTCGGGAGGGCAGAAAATGTCATTTAAAACAAATTGGGTGCAAGAAAACTTGACTAGCTTCACAGGTGGATCTCAAGGGGAAAATATAATGCTACAAATATGTAGAATATGGTTTCTGTAAGGCTTTTGGATTCTTTGGTAATTAAAATTAGGTGCTAACTCGTTACTTAGGGAAGCGTGTTTTTAAAGGTGCAAAAAAGAGGCAGGCAAGAGAAAAGCAGAAAGATGGTGATTTTCATGAGGTCATGTATTATGGTGGCTCCCCTGTTGAGCTGCATGTGGGGCAGAGGGACTTATTAACCATGTAGTGCTGTGTTTCTGTGGGTTTGGGAGGGAGTGGCTGCTGCTGGACTTTCCTAAGACCCTCCATGTTTGTTTCCTGGGGATTAACCCCTTGTCTCAGCGTTGGATTTTAAAGGATTGGTTAGACGTAACCCCTAATGTTTCGTCAGAAAGCCTAAAAATGTGCTGTTGAGTCTAGACCAGTGTTTCCCAACCTTTTTTTAGTCGCGGCACCCTTTGGAAATTTTAACAAACTTGTGGCACCCTTACAAAATTAATTTTGTCACAATATTTGAATTTCTAAATTCGATATGATAATTTGAAAAATATAGATATTCGGTACAACAGGGATTTTTTTATATTATTAAAAACAAAATTGTCCATCAATGGTGGCAATCATTAGGCTAATTTGTAGGGATGCACCGACACCACTTTTTCCAGTACTCGCCCGATACCGATACTTTTATTTTTGGTACTTGCCGATACCGAGTACCGATACCAAAATTTTTATTGCATTTCTAAATTTTTTAAATATTGGGTACAGAAACCAAAAGAGTATGTATAATGTTAGTTGGTTAACTTCATTTATCAAATAGATACAGTCAAACCAAAATTTATTCAGACACCTTCAACATTTCTCACATTATCACAGTTTATTCGCTATAGTTTAGAAAATGGTAATAAAATATGACAAGAACTCAGAGTTAAACTGTGTCAGAACAAATTCATCTTGATAATGTTAGATAACTTTGATAGAAAGGTATGTAATAGATTACAATCAACCAAAAAATATTCAGACAGCTGTTAGTATGACAGTATTTACACAACTATCAATACTTAGTCGGGCAACCTTTAGCCTTAATGACAGCCTGTAGTCTCCTGGGCATGCTGTCACCCAGCTTCATGCAAACCTCAACTTCAATTTTTTTTTCCAGACTCGGTCTGAATAATTTTTGGTCCCAAATTTATATCAATTTTACTGGTAGTCCACTGTATGAATAATTTTTGGGTATGATTTGTCACAGTTTACTTTATTTTGCTATCTTCACTTACATAAATGAACTATAGTGTCCTGCACCCACTAGTAAAAAAATATCAAAAATGATATCTGGTCTCTGAATCATGTTTGGTTTCACTGTATATCCTTCGGTTATTTTCACACTTAATTATCTACTGTCTGTTGTCGGTGTTTCTTTGTCTGAATATGGCGCTTATCACATGCTGTGTGGTATCGGCGTTTGGTATCGGGGCATTTTAACGAGTACGAGTACAAGAGCTCAGTATCGGGCCCGATACCAATATCGGTATCGGTGCATCCCTTCTAATTTCTAATGAAGAGACCAATTTATATGACCGATTTTAATGTAGGCTTGTAAACATTATTTAATTACCATTATAACTAGCTATCTCACACATTTTTGCTCACTCAGTGTTTTTTTTTATTTTACAGTGGGGTAATTTTGGTGCAGTAGCACGAGATAGCTTGATTTCAAACTTTGAATAACCAGTCAGTAATAAGATAAGATCAAATAAAGAAATTAATAATGATAGCACAGATAAAAAATAACGACAGGCCTTCGAATTAAATCAATTGCTTTTTAGTTTTTCAGGTAGGTCTAACAGTAGGGTTAAGATAACTTTTTTTTTTTTACCAACTATCCAAATAATGTTTAGTCCTAGAAAGCTATTATTATCAGAACATGTAGCATAACATAGCAGTTAGCAGATCAATGAATGAGAGGGCAGCGTTACCAGAGTTGCCCATATACCACGCCATGTTACAACACAGTAAGGCTATTGCAGACAGAAACAATACTGTACTAGGCCTACATCTATGTTTCCTGTCGGCTCAATTTTTGAGTGGATTTTGCTGTTCCGATTCACATGAACAGTATACGAGTGGAGCGACTGAGCAGAGCGCACACGCATAGAGTGGGATAATACGCAGAGCCACGTGAAAGTGAAACCTGAGCGGTGAACTAATTTTCGGCAGCCGAAATTTCAGTGCATCTCTAATTGTATTGGATATTATATAGGGCTGGAAAATAATTCAATATCAATATGTATCGCGATATAATTTTTTTCAGTAACGGTGATATGATTTTTAAACACATTTCCGATATTTCGATATACATTACCAGTTTCCCATACATTGATTTATTTGTGCCGTTTGACTTTGTTGAATAAACATGAGCACTGCACGTTTCAAAATCATAACACGGCGCAGGTGTTTTATATGAATGTATCTCTGAAGGGAATTGACTGTCTTCAGAAAAGTTTCGATGGCATTTTCATTTGATCTGATAAAGTAGCATTCATGAGCGGAGCTGCTTTGATTACAGCCGTTACTGGAGAAACCGCTAGTTTTATCACTCTAAAAGCGCCTCCTGCTGGCAGAGAATCAGTTTGCATTTGCATGTTTTATTTTTTATTTTTGTTACATTTTTTTGTTTTCTGCAGCGACTCGGAGCACTTTATATATCCTTTTTTTCTGGCTGAAGCACATCTGTTTCAATCTATAAGAATAATCTGCCTACACTACCAGTCAAAAGGTTTTGAACAGGAAGATTTTTAATGTGGGGTTTTGTTTTTTGTTTTTTTTAGAATTCTCTTCTGCTCACCAAGGCTGCATTTATTTGATCCAAAGTACAGCAAAACCAGTAAAATGTTGAAATATTTTTACTATTTAAAATTGCTTTCTATTTGAATAGATTTTAAAATGTAATTTATTCCTGTGATCATACATAGCTACATTTTCAGCATCATTACTCCAGTCTTCAGTGTCACATGATCCTTCAGAAATCATTTTAATATGCTGATTTGCTGATTATCAATATTTAAAACAGTTGAGTAAATTTTTTTTTCAGGATTCTTTGATGAATAGAAAGATCCAAAGATCAGCATTTATCTGAAATAAAAAGCTTTTGTAACATTATACACTATTCCAGTGTTTCCCCTGCCATTATTTTAGGGGGGCTTTTTTAACATTTTAGCAATTTAAAAATATTTAAAAAAAGATTTTTACACGGCACCCCGGTTGGGAGACACTGGTCTAGACAAAAGCTTTAAATCTACATATAACTAATGCAGACTTCTAAAAGGACTGATACTGTATTAAAAATTGCATTTCTGGAGGTGACTAGGGATGCTCTGATCCGCCTTTTTTTCGCCTCCAATACCTAGGGTTCGGTATTAACGATACCAATCCGATACCAGTGAAGTTTATATACTTTCTTTTAACAGTTTTAAATTTCAGTTACTGTGCACGTTAAAAACAATTTATAGTCTTTTCTACGCCCGTGTTTTGTTCTCACAGACTCACATTGCAAGTAACAAAACAACATTAAACTCCGGCAAGAAGATAAAGTCCTTTTTGCTAAATCATAGACATGTATTTACAAATCAAGTATAATGGGAATACAGAATGATCTTGGAGAGAGCTTTACCGAGCTGACTGCTGTAACCGAACGCGACCAGGGTTTAAAGGCTGAACGAATGACTGACAGCCACAGCGGAGAAAAGAGTTTATGTGAACTTTAATGTAAGGACTTAAATATTCATATGTAGCTCACATTAAGCTATCGTATGGCTGCAGAAGTAACACAGAATAATTCGCACAATCGCAAAATAAATAAATCAATCTCAGATTTGGATCAGCCCTCTCTGACCGATACCCGATCCGAGAAAAATGGCACTATCGGAGCCGATATCCGATATGAATATCAGATCGGCGCATCCCTAGAGGTGACAATAACATTTTTAAATGTTTCATTTTCCACCAAATGGAATGGCAAAAATGATTTGTGTTTCTTTTCAGATTCCCCCATACTCGCACAATAAGTTGAGCTAGGAGATCAGAATAATTGATTCAGAACTGAACTGAAAACGCCTTGTAAATTCCTGAAGGAAAGGAAAGGAAACAGAGTTAAAATGAGTTGAATTTTTTATTTGCATTTTTTTAAAATAGAAAAGCAAAGTTTGTCTTGACTTTGAATGCTGGCTTTGAAAAAAAATCAAGCTCTGAAAAAGTTCAAGAAGCCTCAAAGTTTGTAGGTTTATGGATGGATAGAGAGATATTTAACCTATAGTCTCTGCATTAATTGGAGACAGTATTAACATAGGGGGAAAAAACTACAGAAAAAAAATCTAATACTTTGCCTTTAAGAAACAAGGAGCCTTAACACAATTGTTAAGATGTACTATTTATCTTGGTCTTAAAGAATGAAGGATATTCGTGGTGGCCTGTGGTGTGCTAGTGAAAGCAATAAGCTAAGCCATTCTTACTGAAAGCCAATTACTCCGGATAGGATGACTACAGAGGTCGGTCCAAGTTTGTGCTTAGAGACCGGCGTGCCAACTATGCTGGAGTACGATTTATTGTTTAATATCGTCTTAGACTTGAGACTTAATGGCTGTGTTCACACAGTCAGTGTTTACAAACAGGTGTGACTCTTGAATTGTCCTGTTCAGATTACAGAAGCAGTTTGAATAATGTCTGTATGAACAAATAACCAGTCAAGACCCATTTTTTATTCCTGTTTAATTTCCTTTTGCTCTAATATGTTTTAATGTATGAAGCGACACAGATCGCTGTGAAGCGACACACATACACACGCTGTCTTTGAGTTGTGCAACAGGTGATCACTGTCTTACAGCATGACTGCAAACTGACTAATGAACCAGCCCAGCAGTGCTCTAGTGCTGAGACCTAAAGCCATTAGCTATTATCCTCTGCTGTGAAACCCAACTTCCTGTAGAGACTGACCGTGTTTCCTGGCTGCCGTGAACGCAGAAGTGTGAACTTGCTGTGATTCTTCTTGCTCCTGCTTTTGGCCTTGCGAAGTTCTTCAGACCTCTCATAGTCGGTGAGATCCACCACCTCCTGGATTTTCTTCTCATCTTTGGCCTGTAGAAAGTACAGATTTGGTTTTATTACTGTGCTTTAAATTTGTTTAAAATTGATTACATCTCAATATTTATGTATATGTTCTGAAATAACTTAAAGGGGTGATTTTAGTAGTTTTGTAATGACGTTACATTTGTAATGTAATGACTAAAATATTGATTAATACTAGTAATAGTTTATTTTTTATTTACTTATTAATCATCATAATTGTTGTTGTTGTTATTATTAAAATCATTAATAATAATACTTTTGTACTTTTATAATATAATAATAATAATAATAATAATACAATCATAATCGTACATGTTGAAAACCGACTCTGATCCAAAACAGGTTTCTTAAGGAATAAATATAATTATAAATATATAATTTGCTTAATTATTCCAAACAAAGGCTAATTTAAAATGAGCGTTTGTACTGCCCAGTGTGTACAGAATTTTCCATTTCAGCCAAGAATTTTAATTTTGGTGCATCACTACTCAAAAGGTTTTTTTTTTTTTTTTTTAAGGAAACAAAAAACAGCACAGCATTTTAAAGGTGTATGATGTTTGAGGTCAGTTTTTGGTTTAGTCTAGTTGGTGCAGTTGTTAAGAACTGTTTAGAGCATCTGAATGTCCAATGATATTAACTTTTAACCAAGACCGCTCCAGAACATCACTGGTCCAAACATGGCAGAAGAGAACCTTTTAACCCAGATTCACAGTGAACACCATGGTCTGATTTGCTATCACCTGCAAATGAGAACGTTCTCTTAAGTCACAATCAATTTCCATTAGCGCTCTACTAAAGACAAAAAATCTGTCTATGCACGCAAGCACACATCTGGTTGTGTTCTGTACTACAGAGCCGCTCTACAGTGCAGTACTTAAGAGATTGGCATCACACCCAGTGCACTATTGGGTGTCACAACAGAGAATGGCTGTACAAATAGTACATCTACTGTTCCAGCAGTACAAAGGCAGCAATTAACTGGCAATCTGATCCAATCCTTTTTTCCAGGAGAGGACAGTCGGGACACAGTACACAGTATTTGCACTCAATACCGGACATTAAGAACTCCTCAATACAATTAGATTCAACAAAATAATGAAGTATGCTGTTACGACTTATAATGCACTCTATAATGATTGAAAATTAGGCATTAAAGTAAGGTAAAAAATAATCTGAATTTTTTTTAAAGTGTGTGATAAGTGATAACACATTTGGATATTTATTTCACCGGCATTACTTGTAAAATGACCCTGATATAGGCTATCTGACAACAAATCTGGCACAGTTAATGTAATCTGTAATCTGAGAACATACAGAAAAATACTTTAAGTGGTTAAATTCATTGAATGAATGTGAACTACACCACTACTTTTGTAGTTATGCTCTTTGCTCCTTTAAACTGAGTAGGTGCAGTCTAATTAAGTGGTTGTATATGAATCTGACAACATGTGCTCTATTTTGGATTTCATAACATTTGAAACTGCCTTTTTAAAACAGAACTGGCAGATGCTCAAGTAACAAGCCAATTTTAGCCTTAATGACCTTTTTAACTGCAAATAAAGAGCATCATCTATATTTAATATTGTGTACATTAAGCTTTAAACAGACACATCATTTTGCAAATGAGACGCGCGCACACACACACTGAATAGTCAAAAACAGCATCTTAAACAACCAAAAAAAAGCTAGAGAAAATTGTTTGCCAAACCTTGTGTTTCTCAAGAGAAAGAGTAAAGGGACAAAGAAGTACTACTGTGAGAATTATTGCACAGTTTTGCCAGGCTGCCTGATATGTTCTCAGTAATCAAGATACTTTCTGTTATCTAACTAAAGCTGTCTGGAGCTCTAAACAATATTTTTGTTGTGTGTGAGGTTACAGAAATGTTCCAGGTTCAAAACACTTAAGCTCTACAAACAGCATCTGTGGTGTGCTGTTGAGTACCACAGAAAATCATTTTGACAAATTGTATTTACATTGATGCACTTACATTGGAAGTCTATGGAGCGTGTTTCTCAAATACTGCCACAAAACTGCTGTTCACAAATGTTTCAGACTGAAACAGGATATTCAATGAAAAACAATGTAGGAAAGAAATTGACTGAATCCAGAGAAAAGTGGATGATTAACAACTTTACTGCTCAAATTATGCAATTTTTTATACTAAAGACGTTAGTCTAAATGCTCAAATTTCTCCTTTTTCCTTGAACTTACATTGTAATTTAGTAATTTTGTATGTAATTTATTTATATATATATATATATATATATATATATATATATATATATATATATTTGGGGTCAGACGGTACACGTATTATTTTTGTTATATTATGTATATATTTTATATATATATATATATATATATATATATATATATATATATATATATATATTAATAAGTTTGGGGTCAGCAGTCATTACTCAGTCCTCTGTGTCATATAAGTCAAAATTATTTTTGATAGCATGGCAGCAGTATAGAGCTTAACTTGTATTAGCCTGGGGGGAAAAATCATTTACGGTTTGCTGGTTTTTGTTCACATTTTCTTGTTTCCAGTGTGTATTCGTATTCATGTTATTCAACAAATCAACTGTATTATGGAGAATTTCCTGTTCAGGTGTCCTTTTGTTTCAGTCTGATGCCAGGTGAATCATTCAGAGATGAGCAGACATCGTTTCGTGTTTCACTGTCTTTCAAAGGACTGGTCAAGTTCTGTATGAATGGAATTTTACTATTCAAAATTATATTTGCTTTCTCTATTAACCGGTCTATCTTTTCATACACGTCCATTATAGGATCACAAAACATTGCAGTTGAGAGGGTGTATGAGAAGCCAAATACCCTGAAGAGGAATTTGAAATGAATACTCCTCGCAATGTGTCCTATCGGCCCACATATGAAAAATTGATTGCAAAGTGTTTAAGTAAGAATCTGTGAATGATACAACCAATGCTGCTTTATGATGTGAAGGCAACAGGTGACATCTTGTAGGGTTAAATGCAGCATGTTTGCTTGCTCAGGTGAGGGAAGAAAGGGCGAGCCGCTTCATGTGGGGTGTTGACAAGTTGACATCCGCAGTTACAAACCTACTGAAGACAGTTTGAAGGTGTTTCCTCTCTGACTTCTAGCACAGTGGTTTTCAACAGGTTTTGCTTTACAAGTGGTGCTTTTGAACATCAAGTCGTGACCAAACACAGTGCTAAAAATGTATTCATATCACCACAAACTACATTCAACAAAACTGCACGGCCTTTGACCATAACAACAAAAGATATGGGAACTGTTTTTGCCTGCCTTCCCTTCCTTCCTGCCCAGTTTTCTAGAGCTGCACGATTATGACAAAACTCATATTCAATATTCAATTACATTGAAATTGTAATTGCGATTATTAATTAAAGTGATCACAATTTACATTGAATGATGTTTATACCATTGTTTGAAGCAACCGCATGCCATCATTTTATATGAAAATAAATAAGCGGAAAACACTCAAACTGAAAATAATTTATTGCTTTTCTATAGTATTAAGCCTCAAATGTTAACTATACTTTGGATTGGTTTCTTTAAACAATCATTTTTAAAAAGTAAAAATATGCATGGTATAATAATGTTATACTAAAACTAAAATTAAAGCAATGGAAAAACCCTTAAGATAACCTGTAGAAAGAAAAAAACAAGCACTCAGAATAACATAAATGGACGATGAATTACAGCTTTGAACAATTAAGTAATTGTGGCATCCGTAATTGTAATTTGATTAACTGTGCAGCCCTACATTTTACTGTATTATAACTTTGCACAATCACAAGTTTATTTTTTCCTAAAAATTGTTTAATTTATTTCTTCTGACCACAACAGACCTGCAGCCATGTTTGTGTCGTGACCCATAAGTTAAGAACCACTGTTGTAGAGTTTATCATTTCAGTTCAACGAGCTTCTCATTTTGAGCTTCCTGATGCTATTTTGCTGTTCCAGAGTAAAACCAGCCTGCAACTAGCTGGAATTTCTCCCTGCCGTCCTTTCAAATTCTTTCAAACAACTTGCAATAGCAGTAATAATCATCTGACACAGTGTGACCAAGATCCCTTTTGATACTTTGCGGAACAGAAGAAAACACCTAAAGAAACCAGACGGAGAAGAAATGGTTTGATGACTATACAAGGCACGACAACCTCTGTTGATCTCGCTTTCCAGCAAGTGAGTCAGAGCTATGCCAGGCCCTGACGTGTGAAATGATTCATCCGTCGTTTTCATTTGCTCTACTTGTGTTAATGTAGGTGGACGTCTACACCCCATCATCCTTGAGAATGATGCCGGCAATTGTAAAAAGAAAAATTCACACGTCTTTCCATGAGTATTTGTACATGTATGACATATAATATATACAATAAAGTCTGTAGACATGTTACTTTTACTATTGCACTGCATGATATCATTTTATGACATTTTCCATTTGCACCGGTTCACAACGCTAGAATCATTCAGCACATCTGACATCTGCAGATCTCTTTTTTGAGAAATGCTATACATATGTACTAATATGACAAGTAAACTGGAGTGAGATAAATATGATGCATTAACTAATTCAAGTACTTGGCTGATTATGATGTGGGGAAATTAAGGTGAAATGTTTAATCTGGCAAAAGCTTTCCAATTATTGTCAATCATTTTCCAAAAACTACTTCATTAGCGTCCTAACCAAGCACAATTTTACAGAAAATGTAGTTGATTGCTTGGTTTCTGTTAGAGTAGCCCTGCCCACTGAGAAATCTCATTGGTCCAAAATTGCATCCTGCATAACTTGATTGGCTGTTGTTGTGCTATGGGTTTTTTTTTTTTTGCTTTCATGACAGACATTATTTCACACTAGATCCAAATGCAATCAAAGACAGTGACCGCATTTGAAAAACAATATGTGAACAGGGTAGTGTGTCCGAATTGACAGTATTCATAAACCAGAAGGCAAAAAGTCCTACTGACCTACTATTTCTGGAAAGATTCTGAATGTACATCCAATGGACACTATACTATCCCACGAGGCCAAGTGGAAAGTAGTTGTGAATGGCAATGAAGAGGCGCAACCGATTCTGGCAGTGACAACATGACAAATGTACTGTGTTTTTAACAGTTGCTTATTCAAAAGAAGTACCAACTGCAGCCAGTATGTATGATCATGTAACCTTATTGACAACGCTATTTCTGTTTAGGGTGGATACTGATTGTGAATCGCCCAAATGGAAGGACTATGATTTCAATGCTGTTTCAGTGGCATCATTTTAGAAAGGCAAACCAGATGAGCAAAGGGGAAAAGAACATCGTAAAGAGGAAGTATAGAGCATAGAACAAGTTGTGGCCATTAGACCAATGTCTACCTTCTCACATATGGCTCCAAAAAGCAGAAGAGCAATATAAGATACTTTCAAAGTAGATGAAGACCACAGCTTCCTTTTTTAGGCTTGAGAGGGCAAGAAGACGACACAGACAGACAGCTCTTATCTTCTTCTACTTTCATGTTGAAGTTCTGGTAGATACCATTTAGGGTAACTAAGCAGAACAAAAAAAGACAGGAAACTACGCCTAATTAAATTTAGATTCAAGCATTCATGAGAGAGCAGTGTACCAGAGTAAGTGTGTGAATGTGAAGATAGTCTTGGGTGAGTGGGAAAAAGTTTTCCTACTATCTGTGGACCCACATCGGCGGCCAGGAATCTGACCCCGAACAACACTCGCATGACATCTGCTCCTGTGAGCTGTTCTGGAAGTTTTTTCTAGAACACATTCTCAGCTTACTGCCATCCTTCAGTCTACTATCATCTGACTCAATTATGTCAATTTGATTTAAGCAGAATCACATTGAATGGCCAGTGGGTTATTAGTGGTGCTTGCTATTGCCATTGCTCATAATTTAGCCCTTAACCCTGCAGACAGCTCAAACTGCAGTATGCAGTTTATTAAGAAGAGGTGTGCTTGTACTTTCCAAAGCAATTTATACCTGGTAGATGATAAAATGTGCCAAAAAAATAAATAAGTTTAGAGACTATAATTTGCCCAAAGCGGCGTGAAATGAAAATTCACCCTATCTATTTTTTTTTTAACAGGTTATTGATCTTCTTGTCACCAATTCAGCAGTGCATGTATTTTTACATAATTGGTAATCAAAATGTCACATCTTGATCTTCCAGTGAAACAACAGACTTCTCTTTGTTGATTGTAACCACTTACAGCTCCCTAGTAGCATGGCTACTAAAAAGTATTTTCTTTATTAAAGATGCATGGTAAGCCATAGTTACTAAAGTTACTGTAAAACTATTTTTTATTAGTATGGAATCTTTGTCAGTTTCATTTATTTTTGTTGAGGTAGTAATTTTGCTGTAGCTAACTATGGTATTTTTGGCAAAAACTACAGTTACCATAGGACATTTTTGAAAGTAGTCTACAATTAATCCTTTTTGATACTTTTCTGGCACTGTTGAAGCTTGAAAGCCTTAGTTCGTATTCACAAAAAATGCAGTCAGCACAATTTTTCAAATATTCTCCTTTTGTGTTTCTGCAGAAAAAAGTAATGTGCGTTTGGAACAATATCAAGGGGAGTTAATGATGACAGCATTTTCATTTTTGGGTGAACTAGAAGACTGTATAAAAAAATCTTTTAAAAAAGAATCTGTAAAGTTTAAGCCCAGATACCTGATGGTATATACTGCATGTTGTAGAACTACATATACCCCTCAAGCTAGGATCTTCAGACTGCTATATAAATATGGGGATTGGAAATACACCATTTTGGCATTCATCAATTAGGAAACATGATACCAAAACAACAACGTCGGATCATTAAAATCTGTTGTCTGTCTAGGCAGCTGGAGAGAAACATCTAGACGACAGCATGATGAAACCTCAGTCTGTTAAGCACTAAAAGGTTCAATCCTCCCTCTGAGCTGTGAGCCAGAGCCCATATGCTGCCTCGGCATTGTTTGATCTGATGCTGAGCACAGCAAACAGTCTTCTGCGTGACCATGACTCAACCTCAATCCTGCTTTTCCTTCCCTTCGTCCTCCCACACTGCAGTAAATCAGCCTCGCTCCTGAATAAAGGCCCTTTATTTTCCTATTCTTTAATGCTTACCGAACTTGTTTAACCTCTCTTTAAACCTTCACTTGGGAAGTGAAGGGAACCACAATGTCAGGCACATGCTTGACAGTTTGTGGTGCACTGGTCCACCAAGTGAATGTTTACATGTTTATCTCATCATGTTTGGCTTTTCAGCACATCCGGCTCTAATTCCAGAACAATGTCTGCAATTGAATAAAGGTGTTAACACTGTAAGACGCAGCTCTGTGTCCACAGCAAGCCTGACCTGAGCAGAGCAGGATAATAAAGGGATAGTTTATTTATTCATTTATTTATTGATTGAGTTTTTTTTGTGTCGAAACTGCAGTTTTTTTCATACAATGAAGAAGAATAATGAGTACTTTTATAATGTTTTATGAAGCAATCTCCTTTTAGGAGATTGACAGTCCCTGTTTGCCATCTAATTTCATTCTCAAACTTCTCCTTTCCAATGAAGAAAAAGTCATGTGGGTTTTGAAAGGCACGACATGAGTAAATTTAGATTTTTGGCTTAACTACATGTCTTCTGAATTTTAATACATGTTTATCTGCATTGGAAGTGTACTCTTATATTGCAGTGTGGATTGTGCTTTCTTTTACTTTGTATAGTTTTGTTATGGTTTTCAAAGATGAGGGCATGTCACATATCCCATCTATGCCTTTACGCAACTGGAACACATTTCTTACTTTCTCACACTGAAAGCAGTACTGAATATCATTGTAAGCATGTTACACAAGTAGCATCTCATCAATCAAATGAAGATGTGGAGAAAAGCATTAAGAGAAAAAAAAGGTTTGTCCAAAACTAACCTCTCTTTCAGAAATGTAGAGTTGCTCTCCTTTCAGTATAACGAATCTGCTTTTCCAAATTTCCCTGAAAATTCCTTTGCCACAGAACTTGCGAATCCAGCCAGTTTTGTCGGGCTGCATGGGCTGTTGACTGGCGTCCTGAGGGCCCTGAGAAAACAGAGACATGCCAGTGGGACTACAGGTTTCCAGTTGGTTATGATCTAATTGTCTGTGTTTCAAAGCCTAAACAGCATTTCTAGGCCTTCGTAGGTCTATGATGCGCAATATGCTGTCTAGGAAGGCAGTTCACTAGGTTTTGAGACACAATCGTAGTCTCTAGAATGGGGGAGACTTTCTTAAAGACCATGTCTTTGTCATGTAGATCATATCACATTCCTGACACTTACGCACTTTTCTCGCACAGCACATGCACATACACACGCCAGTGTTTCCTCAACATTGGGATCTTGCAGTCTGAACTGAGTGTGATGAGAAAAGGCTGTGTACATGCAAAATAATGGCAAGAAACAAAATTCTATTATGCTGATCTCACAGACAAGAGTGAACAATATCCATAATCTGTTTGTTATTCAGAAAAAGACTTTCCTCAGCTATTTATGCATGTAATCAGAATATTCTGTACGAAACATGCCAATTCTTCGCCTGCCAGTCTAGACAGGAAATATTGGGAGTGCCATTTATTATGCCTTTTATTCATTTTGGACAGTAATTTAATCAGCAATGTACAGTATTTGAAAAATAATGTGTTTTTTGAACATTAAAGCATGTCAAAATATTCTGTTACACCAAATACACAAAATAATGATCTTTAAAAAAGCATCATATGACCCCTTTAATACTGCATGTTAAGTGTTCAGTTTGTAGTCCCAGAAGATAAATAGAATTTTTCAAACCATGCCTTCCCTTAAGAGTTTCCTTTTGGGTTTTTAGAATTTATGTTTTAGATGTATTAATCATTAATATCTGTTAGTAAATATGTACATTAAATTATAGTCTGACTTAAAATATATATTTTTTTAATTCTGATTAATATAGTCATATGCCAGCAGTCTTATTCAGTTTTCTGGAAACTGTAATACTGTCTTCTGGTTATAGCATTCAGGTTCTGTTTATTTTTAATGTAATATTAGAATAAATCAGGGCAAACCTTTTCAGTTGTACCTTGACGTTACTCGTGTGATTAAAATAAAGTCCACATTACTCCTTTCATTATTTTGAGCCTAGTCAACTTCCAAAAAAAGGCGTGCGAAATAATATCATGTCGACTTATAAATTTACAGCTAGAATAAAAAGAATTATAATGCGTGTACTGCATTGGTGCATTGAAAATGATGTTAAAGAGTGTTTTAGTAAGCTGAAGTGTACTTGCTGCAGTGTTTCATACTAGTGCACAAAGGCTCGCGACGCACCTCACTGACAATAGAGTGACTCGATGTCTTACCCGCTTTGTTGAACTGTTCTTCTTCATGACTCAATAAAACGGGTCTTCCCGACTCTCCCTCCGTTAAATCCAGATCCTTTCGTGCCACAATGTGTTGTCTACAACGAAACAAAATCCTGGAGTGAAACGCTACACTCTAAAGAAAGCTCGGTGTTGAATGAGGCGCTCCCCCGTTTGTTTCTTACGCCTCCTCTTGTCTATTTACTTCCATTCAGTGTCCTCCAGATCCTGCAGATTATCATCCAATGGCTTTGAGAAATGTGCTTTCTAGAGCAGCAGATAAGTCTGTGCTGGTGCCATCATCATCACTGTTATCGTGTGGTATGGGTTGATCTCCTGCCCTCATGTGTCTCTTGTGGAGTTCTGTGTGAGCTGGAGAACTTAAGGCTGTGTGTCCCTCTCTTTGTCCTCCACAGCTCCACCTATGGACACCACAATGATGTCACTGGAAAGGCAGGGGGGGACTTGCTGTACTGAAAGGAATGTTGCAGTATTTTGCTATCATTTTACATTGTGTAACAGTATTTGCCTGTATTATTAGCTCAAATATTATATATAGCATTATATGATAAAAAATGTGAATAATGTGCAATTAAAAATGAATTACACTAAGTACATGTAGTTCATCAACAGTGTCAAAAATTAACCTTTTTTTATTAAGGATCAACATTTGCCCCCTGGATTTAATTGACATAACATGGACAACACACTGTGGTTCATGATTAAAATAAATTCTCACAGTATGTATTAGGGTTGGTGCACAGCAACACTGTATATTTTGATGGATGAACTGCTAGTTTTCTACTGTTTTCAGATATATTTATTTAGCAGGATCATTTAGTAGTCTGCATACTGCTGTAAAATATAAATGAACTAGTTTTATAAGTCAAATACTATTTAATATGACTGAATCAACTTTACTGTATTCGGTTTAACTTGCAAGAAGTCATTTTTAATGTCAGGTGAGATAGAAATAGCCTCTGAAGGTAACAACTGCGCAATTTCAGGGTTTTTTTAATAGTGTAATATTATATTTATTATATGCTTATAAATAAATATATTAATTGATATATTTTTATTCTACTTTTGATATGAAATGATAAAGTATATAAATGTGATCTTGTAAATGAGGAACTCTTGAATACAGATTTAAAAGAACGGTAACACTTTACAATAAGGTTCATAACTACTTTAGTTAACATGAACTAAGCAGCCAGAAAATAAATATTCCTTGAATTGATAAATGATTATATTGTCTGCTCGGTGGACGGACAGATCAAATAATTGTAATATTGATTCTGCTACAGTTAATTCGAAGATATAATCTAAATATTTATTATGAATCATAACCATTTATGATTCGTCATAAATATTCCCCTTTTTAGAGCTAATAAATAATAATAAACGTTACATATATTAATTGATATATTTTTATTCTACTTTTGATATTAAATGATAAAGTATATAAATGTGATCTATAAGTCAAATACTATTTAATATGACTGAATCAACTTTACTGTATTCGGTTTAACTTGCAAGAAGTCATTTTTAATGTCAGGTGAGATAGAAATAGCCTCTGAAGGTAACAACTGCGCAATTTCAGGGTTTTTTTTATAGTGTAATATTATATTTATTATATGCTTATAAATAAATATATGTAGCGTCTGCGTAGGATCATGCTGGAGTGTTGGACTGTTTATGGCTTAAAAGACCCTTTTAGCCTTTTGACATTTGCATATAAATTACAGTTCTGGTCAGAGATGTTACTTGTATAGGGGTTGTAAATTGCCAAATGGTTCTTCGCCGTCAAAAAGATTAGAACCAGCCCCCACGAGAATCCTGGAATCTTCTGATCAAAAACATTCCACAGAGAGCTGTGAATGGCCAAACGAACACGCACACACCCAAACTAACACACACACACACATACAGACATTTCTTTATTTTAGACTATAATTAATCAGTTATAATTGTATCTGGTATATGCATGTGGTGTGTACACTCCCTTGTTAGATTAGATGAGTTACCACTCGTTATTTGTATTAGTTAAAGCCATAAAACACTTATATTCAGGTGTATGTGTGTATCTTTGGTTTAATCTATTCCAGATTATTGTTTCTTGGTATCAATGCCACCCGTTCTTCATTTCTCGGACAATGACGTACAGTATGTGATTGTGAAACGCATCATATGACTCGCACGATATTTTGGGTTAAAACTACGGATGTTCCAGACCGGCCATAAAGCATGCAAATGAGCCATAAAACAAGAGACAAAGACGATTCTCCCGCTCAAAATCCATGTCTCTCATTGGTCAGAACACACAGAATAGGAACTCTAAAAAACGATAAGCCCAAAATAACTTGTGCTCAGAAAACTTCTTCTTCGTTTGAGACAACACCTTTCAGGACTCTCAAGACCTTCCTCTTGAGTTTTATTTTCCGGCAGTTTTTACTTTCAAGTAACGTTAGTCGCTGTGGACTTCTTCTTCAGAAGAACCAGAAGTAAAAACTTCCAGCTGACTCCTCACGAACTCATCAAAAGACCTCCGTTATCTACCGCATCCGGACTCCTCTTCAGCAATCGAAAAACCAATGCAAGTAACCGCTTCAAATTATTCAGATGCGTGTTTAAATCTCAGTCCCTTTTAAGGTGATTATTGGATTCTTTGATGATTTTTCAGAGGTTGTGGTTAAGTGATGTGAAATACTGCCATTCTTTTCTATTCTCTATCTTTTCCTTACTTTGTTTCATTCCGTGTATATATATGTTTTAGTTAGTTATATGTTAGATATAGTTTCATTTTATTAAATCCCTTATATTCACAACGAATTGTCTCTGTTTACTGTTCACAGTTCCAAGTCAATGAATGTTTGAACCCTTGCTACATTTGGCTAAGAATTACTGCTAGCACTGCACAAAGAAGGACAGTTTATTGTTCCGTGGCCAGAAAATAAATATTCCTTGAATTGATAAATGATTATATTGTCTGCTCGGTGGACGGACAGATCAAATAATTGTAATATTGATTCTGCTACAGTTAATTCGAAGATATAATCTAAATATTTATTATGAATCATAACCAGTTATAATTCGTCATAAATATTCCCCTTTTAGAGCTAATAAATAATAATAAACGTTACACAAAAATATGAAAAGGAAACAGTGTATTAAAAAATGTGCTGCTCCTTTACAAGATAAATGTCTCTTGTGTTCCATGGTAGGACTAAATAATTGATGCAGGAATTTTCATATTTTGGAAAAAAATACGCGTTTTATTTGATTAATTTACTTGAAGTTTGCTGTGAAGTTATTCAGTCACCTCTATACGCGGACAAGCACATGTGTATCAACACACATGATGAAGTTACACTGCTCTCGGTCCAAGCAGCCACCATTCACAAGTTAATCATGCCACGGTTGTCTCTCCTGTCACTCGCAGGCACTTTAATCAAATTATGACCTTGTAAAGCATGCACTTGTCATTTGGGACCGGAGACTCTCTGCTAATGACTAATTAGCCCCATCACCTGTTCCTCCAAACTTCCATTAAACCCATAACTGTGCTTAACGTAATGAAATAAACAGCAAAAAAGAAAAAGAAGAACAACCATCAATGACAAAACTTCTGAGAACACATCAATCAACATCATGGTAATTTATAATGGGGAACATAGTTGTCTTCTCCTGTGAAAGCCACCCCTCATTGGACTAGAGGACGGCGAGGATACACATTAATTGCTAATTAGTTTGTTATTGCTTCCCCGCAAGGGGCAAAGAGCAAAACACTCAACTCAGAGCCTCGACCCTTGCAGAATCACCAACTCAGCATCTAAGTAATTAGCTGTTAAATAACAATACTCGTATCATTGGTTCTGTGTTTTATTTACTGAAACTAAAAATCAGATGATTGTGTTTCATATTCAAAAATAAATCTTAATTCTATCTATCTACCAAACACGGTACCTGTTTGAAAGGTACAAATATGTGCCATTAAAGTACTAATATGTACCTTTAAGGTACTTATATGCACCCTTTA